TCTGAGCCCAGCCAGGTTTCTTTAGGGTTGATCTCCTGTTTGGCTTGGACAGAGTTCAGTACCCAGCTCCATCAGGGTGGGACACAGACCCTGCCCTTCAGCCAACAGACAGAGAATGCACAAAGCCCTTGTTGCAGCTGTTGTGTCCTTGTCTCCCCTCTCCCAGGACACAGCTCTGGAGTGCCATTTTGGGACAGACAGGACGTTTGAAGCGCGGTGGGTGAACTCCTCTGCCGTGGAGTGTGTCCATGTGCTGGTGAGTGCCAGCCCTGCTTCCCCCAGGCTGAGATCAGCTCCAGGGTGTCACCTCCACCCTCCAGTGGGACTCCACTGCTCTCRTCCCTCCATCCCTCCCTCCTGCATTCACCCTCTGGCAGAGCCTCTCTGCGTGTGTTGGGGCTGACAGGGCACAAATATCACCAGTGCTGTGTTCCCACCTCTGTGGGGATCTGCCATGGTTAGATCTGTCCCCTGGCGCTTGGGAAAGAGCTGCTTGTTTATCTTTCTAAWTGGGAAGAGTTCCGTTCAGGCAAAAAAATTGGCCACCTTTCAGGGTTGCTGTTTCTGGAGCTTTATTTTGAATAAGGAATCAACCTGAGAAAATGCTGTGATTCTCACTGGAAAGCAGTGTGTGCTTGTCAGAGGGMAAACTGCACCTCCAAAATGCAGCAAACATCTGGGCTTTGAGCAGTAGGAATATTGCAAGGGGAAGCTGAGAAGAGCACTTTCCCATCATGTCACCTGTATGGCAGCCCCACACTGAGAATGTGCAGACAGGCCAGGCTGTTCGTTTTCCTGTCCCTTTCTGCTAAAAATAGCAGCAAGGCAGGGCTCTGTGCTCACCATGATGTGCTCTGTGTCCTTGTGCCCTTCACTGGGACTTCAGCAAAATGATTAAAACAAAACATGCATCCCGCTGCTTCTACAAAAATAAGAGAGTGTCTGGAGGAGCAGCAGTCAAAGAAGCCTCACAAGGAAGGTTAATCCATGTAATGTGTATGGAACCCTTTATTTTACTAAATTTCATAAGTTTTCACTGTTTTGTTTTTGTTTTTTTTTTTTGTGTGCAGCTCCACACATCAGAAAAAAGCCATCACTTCCCAGTGAACCTCCAGCTGAAGGACAGACCAGACAGATTTATCGACAGTCCGGAGATGATGACAGGTCTGAGTAGAAAATATTTTTATGCTCCTCTCATCTGGTTGGCTTGAATGACTCCCAAACGTGGGCAGAGTTTATGGCTGCAGGAGAGGGACCATGGCTCTGATGGGCACAGCACAGTTCCTTTTCTCAGGCATGTGCACAAAGCACATTTACCCAGAGTGACCCCCTTGAACGTTAGCCCAAAGCCCAGCCTGGCACACTCCAGGCAAAGTCAAGGCCTGTGCAGGAGTGCAGGCAGCTCAGCTCTCACCTCTGCTGGCACGTGGCTCAGTTTCTGCCGGTGCTCTCAGTCCCAGCAGGGATGTGGGCTGGAGAGGAATTCCTCCAGGGAACAGCAGGGATGGGCCAGGGCTCTTCCCTCAGCTCTCACACGAGTGTAGCACCAAGGTTCCACATGCTGTGAAAGTCGAGTCCTTCTTGCTTCCTCTGCTGAGAAGGAATGAAATGTGTAAGCATATTTCACCCCTGGCCTGTTCTCTGTCTCTGGGAAGAATGGCTGGATTCCCAAAAAAAGCCCTTGCTACATCAGCAAACTGAGGAARGCGGGCACTCAGACTCAAAGGCAGTCAGACTCAGACGAGGTGCAAAGGCAGGACGAGTGCAGGGCATGGGCCATGGGGCCCTGCTGGCACAGCCACTGTCACACTCTGTGTGTGCCACAGCCTTGGCCCTGCTGGCACAGCCACTGCCACTCTCTGTGTGTCACAGCCTTGGCCCTGCTGGCACAGCCACTGTCACACTCTGTGTCACAGCCTTGGCCCTGCTGGCACAGCCACTGCCACACTCTCTGTGTGTGCCACAGCCTTGGCCCTGCTGGCACAGCCACTGTCACTCTGTGTGTGTCACAGCCATGGCCCTGCTGGCACAGCCACTGCCACACTCTCTGTGTGTCACAGCCATGGCCCTGCTGGCACAGCCACTGCCACTCTCTGTGTGTGTGTCACAGCCTTGGCCCTGCTGGCACAGCCACTGTCACTCTGTGTCACAGCCTTGGCCCTGCTGCTCACCAAGGGGAATGGCCAGAGACAGCGTTCCCAAACTCTGTGCCCTCTCAACAGGGTCAGCAGTTGTGGCAAGAGGGGCTGATTTATCTGAGATCAGAGGAGAAGGAGAGCCCAAAGGGAGCTTTCCTTTGGAGGATGGCTGTGGCAGGGAGAAAGACATGAGCAYCAACAATCCATGACCAGGGTAAAAAGGTTTGCCCATGGTAAATCCCCATGAATGAACAGGATTATCTTGCAAAGTGAAAATACCTGGAAATAACGGCATGGGCAGCCATTATATCTGGTCTCTGCAGAAAGCTGAGGATCTGTAATTCTGAGCTTGTGGGAGGTGGGGGTGGTGGGACATTGGGTTTTGGKGGTGTGGAGGACTCAGCTGTGTGTGTGGGTGGCTCTGGGAGCAGGAACTGCAGCAAAGAAAGAGTGGTGGAATTCCCCTGGTCCTGCATGGAGAAGGAGCACATTTACACAGACCATGTTTGCCCCTATTGGAATTGGCCAGAATATTTGGAGTTCCCGTGGGACTTAGGCTGCTCCTCGCCTTGCTCAGGCTGCTGTGAGTCACRTTAGATCCACTGCCTTGCATCAGAGACAGAGATCTGCCAAACGAGACAATCATGGGCATATTTTATGATGTCTTTAATGAAATCATTGATGCTAGTGTTTATTATTTCAATATTTATTAGCTTTTATTGCACACTGTTCTGATAGTCCAGTGAAGGAATACTAGCTCTGCCATTGGTTGGGAAACCACCTGGGGATAACTCCCWGGGGACTGCAGATGACATGGAATAAGCTTTTTTCATAGAGAATAGGAGGGACCCTGGGTACCTGTGATAATTTCGTTAGCATGGCAGAGGCAGAGTGTTGGTGATGAAGTTTCATTAGCTCAGCACAGAGCTTTGAGGCTGAGACACTCATTAATTGCTCATGAAGTGCCTTAAGATGCTCCTGTGCCAAATGAGACTCTTCTGTGTTTTCTGAACTCCTGCAAAGTCTCTTTTGGGGAAAAGGGTGTGAAAGCCAGAGCATTTCTGACTGTTACCTCTGTGGATTCCTGCWCTCCAGTGCAGAAGTCTTTAGGCTGCAGAGGAAATGCAGGGCACCAGCTAACAGAGAGGTGAAGGCGTGCAAGAAAAACATATGGAAGCTGAGCTGAGCAGATCTGAAGGGAGAAGTCAATGAAAGGRGCCTGCGGTCACAGGGGGAGGGAAAGAAACTGTAAACTCTGTACAAAGCACAAACTACCCCATTTTTGTCAGCGTGGAAGCAATGTGATCACTTTGGTGGCAGGATGGAACAAGCAGCTTCCCATGTGGATGCTGAGAGTTGGAAACGTAGCATAAATTAACTGAAGGTTCCAAATTTGGGTATTGCTTGTTTTTCAAGGAAGAGAAAAAGGAAAAGAAAGTGCTAAACTATATAGCAGTGAGAACAAGTCCTCAGGCCTTCAGGGAAATGTGCAGGATGGTAGCCAAGAGCTGCCTCATGTCACTGCTGTGCTCATCCGCTGGATTCAGATGTTGCTGGGATGAATGTAACTGTCAGGTGGTGGGAGCAGGGGGCTGTGTGTGTTTGCCTTAGGCTGACAAAGCTGGGAGAGCCTCGGGCGTGGAGCTGACATTGTCTGCTGTCTCTGGTGTGTCAGTGGAGGTGTACAACTGTGCCAGCGGCAGCRCCGACTGCTCCCAGTGCCTGGCCAGGGAGGACCTGGGCCACCGCTGCCTCTGGAGCCCCAGCAGCTCCGGCTGCCGGCTGCACAGCGAGCCCCTGCAGCCCCCCGAGCTCTGCCCACCGCCYGAGATACAGAAGGTAGGAGCCAAGGCAGCGGGGAGTAAGGGTACAGCGTGGGGTGTGTGGGGTG